TTTTTTTTTTTTTTTTCCTTTTTTCTGCCCAGGTTGATGTTTCAACAAAGTAGTTTTAAAGTTCCATCCATTCAGATTTTAAGCATTTTGATTTATTTAAAAAGGGATTGTTCATAGAAAAAAATTACTTTGAACAGTATACAGGACTGGTGGAGATTGGCTATTTCACAACATCAGACAGTACAATCAGTATCTGCCATATGGCTGGTCTCTGTAGACGCCCTTTGCTGTCCTCGCTGAAGGTGCCTTGTGTCTTGAGTTAGTCCAGTCCTCTTGCCCTAAAATCAGCAAGACGAATCACAATTAGATCACTGCCATGGATCCCGCTGGCTTCATTTTTCAGAATCTAACTTAACCCTTGAACCAACGGTAGCTGTCATATTGAAGACATATATATCCCTGACGCACTAGGAAAAAACCAACGGTATTTACTTAAAAAAAAAAAAAAAAATCACAGACACAATGGAAAATGGTTGTCCCCTTAACAAAACCTAACAGCATGGGAAGAAAAATGAGTTTTGTGTCTTCAATGGCAACCGACTTCGCAAGAACTTGCCTTTGGGCCACTCATTTAGCCAAAGCTCACAAGCTCAACCGGCAAAGGGAACTGCCTTTTGCTAAACGTCAAGATGCTTCTGAATGGGAAAGAGAATGGGAAGAGGATCACTTAAACTTCTTTCTTTCTTTCTTTTTAGGGTTTACTTTTGAGACTGAGAGGCAGAGTGCCAGCGGGGGAGGGGCAGAGAGACAGGGAGACACAGAACCCGAAGCGGGCTCCGGGGGCTCCGAGCCGTCCCGTCAGCACAGGGCCCGACGCGGGGCTCCGACCCACGAACCGTGAGATCGTGACCTGAGCCGAGTCGGATGCTCAACGTACCGAGCCACCCAGGGGCCCCCACTCAGATTTCTTTTCACAGCAAAAACATAGAAAACGCAGACAAAAATGTGTGCGGGCAAAAGGAGACAAACACAAAGAGCAACGAGGGGATGGGGAGGGAAAGAGAATCGCCGACGCCATGTCTCCCGGGCCCTTCCACGGAGACTTCGGTGGAGCACAGCTGTGTTGGGTGGAATGCGAACGCCCCGACAATTCTTCCCGGATACGAAATACACCTAGTGACGGAATGTTCGTTGTCAGGCATCATACCACTACCTCCATCCCAGAAACGGGTCTGGAGTAACGAGAGGCATCCGTGATCTAGACCTTCTGAAACTAAACACCTGTTCAACCCCAGCACTGTCACCCAGTCGTCACAAGTCTCTGCCAGCAAATGGTTAACGTCTCTGCGGCAACGTACAGCAAGTGAAAAGCCATGTGTCCACTGAGACCAATTTAAAAAGGCTGTGAAGGAAAAACACTTAAAATGACCTCTTCTTTTGATACAAACATGCAATCAACGTCACTCCCTCAAGCTAACTTGCATCAATTTAAGCGGACCGCATCCAGCAAACCAAGGTATTTCTCTTAAGTGTTTGTTACAAATAACAAAAAAAAAAAAAAAAATCCAAGGTGAGGTCATCACAGCTTGGGGGCAGGTGATCTAACAAAACGCACTTCAAAAGGAACACCGGAAAATGGTTTTTCAGTTATGTTCAGAGAAATGTCAGAACATCCATTAACCAGAATCCTGATTCACTTGCGCTGGGTACCAGGCATTTTATCAGAGCTTTGCAACTGATTGAAGCCTCCTGTTCTCTGATCTCTTTGCCCTCCGGCAAAGGAGCTTCTTACTATCATTATGTTGCTGCCGCCAATTCTTTTAATTAAACCTGTCCTCCTTCTGCACACTGAGACTTCGGACGCGGATTCTCCTGCATCTCTACCAGCTCCCACTGAACTCAGACGGGTTTAGCTGTCTCCCCGCAAGCTGGAGAGAGGGCCTGACGTCCTGTCCCTGGCTCAGTGCTTTGGTAACCTTTATGGAAGGACTCCCACAGTGATGTTTTCAGAGCATTTGCGATCGGAGAGGAATTAAAATATGAAGATGGGGGTGGGAGAATCGTTTTAGAGCTGCAGACTCAATGACTTCATTTTCCTTTACTGTCAAGAAGCGAAGACACTTCAAAAAGCGCCACGCTTTCAAGTGTCTGCAGTTTGGCAAATGATTCCATAATTGAGAAAATCAGCACATGGCAATCAACCCAAACAGAAAATCTAAGTTGAGGATGTGAATCTATGCAATTTTCTATGAGTATTTGGTCCTCTTTAAATATTAAATTTAAATCTTAAAGGAGCTTCTGAAAATAGCTAGATATGTACAGACGAACGGAGAGGAAGCTGCTGTTTCGGTCAAAACGTCTTTAGGAGGTACGTTCTCCTCCGTTAAGATCTTGAAGGTGTTTCTGGGACCATCCCCCCGCTCTGCTTCCGGTTCACTCTGGCCAGGTACTCACCGTAGGAATCGTACGTCTCTTCACTGAGTCCATGTCCGTAATCATAGTAATCAGCACCACTGCAATGAACAAAACACGCAAGAAATAAAAACGTAAATAAAGATGAAAACGCAGGAGAAAATGACTTGGCTGTGAGTCTGAATCACATTCAGTGAAGTATTCTAAAACAGTTACCAAAGGTTTCCAACTTTAATGCCTCATAACTGTGTTTGACACCTGAGCCACAGCAAGTGGCCAGTGAGCACGGAGTGAGCGCCTCTTGCGCGTGACGGATACCAAGACCGTCCTGGAGGAAGAGTCTGCAGAGACCGCGGGCGGGTCGCGGACAAGTGCAGCTGCCCCGTGCCAGGCGCCTCGCGGGTGCAGAGGGAGGAAAACCACGGGTTCTGTCCACCAGAAGGCAAGGACCTTCCTTCCTCTCTAGCTCCAACCTCCCAGAAAGCCCGATGCTGTGTGACCTGTGGGCTCTACAACAAGGCCTGAGACTCCACGTTTCGTTTCCCCAGGACTATGCCGTCACTGTCAGGAAGTGGCTACCGGTCAGGAGGCCGGCACGATGACCGTGTCGTGACAGGAGAGCAGGAGGGTTCCCTGCCGTCCGGTGACGGCAGCCTCACCACGCGGGTGAGGATGAGGCCGAGCATCTTTTCAAAGCACAGGCGCGTCTGCGTTCTCACGTACAGTGTCCTTGAGAAAGCGGGGGGTCGGAGGGAGCCCATCACCAGGGCCATTCTGCTGCAGACGATGCAAAGGAGGCTACACGTACACAACATATTTCAATCAGGCGTAATTTTTTATAGGAACAGACCTATGGAAAAATCTAGATTACTAACCCACGGCAGATATAAGCAGTTTATGACGCTATTTTGAGGATCCAAGGGGGAGCTCCCACTCACCCTCTCAGGCTGTCCGCTTTCCCACTCTACTTAATTTTGTAGGGAAACAATCGTCCTGAATTTGTTATCCTGGATTGTCATGGAAATAAACATTCTCATTATTCCAACCCCATGCAATCAAGTAAGAAGTTCTAATCAAAATGGAAAATGATCAGCTCAGCTGCTTAACACCTTAAGAAGTTGCAAGATGAATAATAGACTCCACGCTGTGAGTGTTGCCGAATGCCAGCTGCCGAGATCCCGTGGAGTCCTCACGGCAGCCCCCGAGGTGAGTATGAGTGTCATACCCATTTTATAGCTAAGGATGCTGCAGATCTGAAAGCCAGGGCGCCGGCCTCAAGTCTCACAGAGAACAGACAGGTGACACGCTCGTTGGTCAAACCCACACCTGGCTCTCCTCCCCACGCTTCACTGTCAGGTGAGCACTACCAGAGACTCATCGGCTCCGACGGCCGCAGCACAGCACGGCGATCCTAGGAGGAAGGGGTAAGCACGGGGGGGTGGGGGGGTGGGGGGGTGTCCCTTTTTGCCTCAAGTGCGTGGGCAAGGGCCTTCACCTCTGCTCCGCCTTCTGCTAGAAATGTTCTTCTTTCCTCTCCTTCCAAGCTACCTGCTACTCAGTCTTTAGCCACAATGTTACTTCCTTGGGGAACTTTCCCAATCTCCCAGAGTCGGCGTGGCTCCCCAGAGCAGCCCTGTCCTTGCTTTTCCCCCACCCCCGCCCCCCAGCACAGCCCCACTCTACACGGACGGAGTCCACGGAGGAGGTGCGCCCCCACCATTGGCTGCGTCGTGGTGGCTACCTGGACAACGTTAATGCTCAAGCAGCTCTGAGCACCCGAGGGCGGAAGCCAAGGGGTAGGGAGAGGGAACAGAGAGGAGATGGCGGCAAGGGCCTTGCAGGCGGGGGAACGGCACACACGAGGCACGGATGCAAGAAACAGGCTTCAGAATTGGAGTCTACAAGTACTTCCATCAGGGTCAAGAAGCACTGACCAAATGCCGAGCCTAGAATATTCCTCCGTATCAAATGCCTCCTCCATGTGCAAAATATAGGTCAGATCTTGTTCTCCTGGCTTACTCACATCCTCACTAGCCAATTAAACAGTGTCCCATACTGGTGATGACGGGAGCCTGCTGGCATGGAGATGGAACGTACGCTCTCTGGAATGTTCTGTGTTAAGCCCCATGGTTTTCTCAAGCATTGCCCAGGAACAGGGCAGTCGCTCTTACAGCTGACCTATTATATACCAAGTGGCAATGTGTAACTTTTCTGAGGAATTGCGTGCGGCTACAGAGTTTTAAAAAAACGTCTTCAGATGGAGAACTGGCACTCCGCGAGGGCGTGGGAGAAAGGAAGGGAGCGTGGGAGGAAGGGCCTCTGATGAGTGAGACCCGGGCTGCACTGACCGCCTCTCTGCAGACATGATCTCACTGAACCTCCACAGAGTCGCCATCCTTGAACATGAAGCAGCTGAGGCACAGTGACGCTGAGCCACCAGGTCACACAGCTCAGAAGGGACAGCACCTACATTCGAAGCTCAGGTGCCAACGTCACCACGTGCTGAAGACCTATGCCAGGGGTGGGGGGCGGGCTGTGCGGTTTACCCAGACCTGCCCCGCTCCCTCCCCGAACGTCTCACTTGCCCGTCTGGGGTTTCCATGACCCCTCCTCGCACCCAGAAATGTAAGTCAGGGTCCACGTGAAACTCACTGCCGTGTGATCGTGATGAATTACAACTGCTTTACTTGTCTGTCTGGTCTCAAATTCCCTCCCTCCCTTTCAACAGTTGCAATCTTCCTTCAGGGCAGCACACAGATCTATGGCGAGAGGGAAACAAGAGGGACTGGCTAAAAAAACATCAAAGAAACATTCACATTAAAAAAAAAAAATCCAGCAGAAACAAGAATGAAAGAGACAATATTGCTTTCCTCCCTCTTAAGGTTTTACAGCTTTAAATAGGAGAATTGCTTAAGTAGAATGCTCTTTTTCATCTTGAGGACAGAAATTCAGAAAGGAACGCCCTGTTGAAATGTCAGTGTCAACGATGGGTCAAACATCTGCGTGTGAACCTGGGCGTCCACCTGCCGGGCTCCCGGGGTGGGGGGGCATCCTGCTCACTGTCTCAGCACCCCCGTCCATCAAGCCACGGGCCTGGTGTAGGTCCTGTGCGGACCCCGGGCAGCTGTGACATTCTTGATGGCTCATGCACTGCAGTCGGCCACAAAGTAGTCAAAATAACTTCTCATTTTATTGGGAAAAAAAAAAAAAAAAAATTGGCTAATGTTTCGTGGAAAACAGCACTAAATTAAATGAACCTCGGTCCTCTTTCCAAAGGTCAGAAGTTACAGCAGAATGGCTCCTTAGACAAATAAAACCCTGATGTTCTTGAGAATTTTATCAGTCGCACAAAGTGAATTACGTCTTCATAGAACTGCAAGAATTTCCTTTCCTGAGACAGGCCTCCACTGTTTAATGCGATGCTGTCGGTGACAGGCACTGAAGCTAATCAACATAGGAGTCGAGCAAGAGCTTTTTGACCAAACCAAGTCTTTATCAAATGGACTGAGCAGTAATGAACATCAGTGCAGACTCGAAATTTGTCTGTGAAGTGCCCTAACACCATTCAGCATAAAAAAAAAAAAAAAAAAAAAAAAAAAAAAAAAAAAAAAAAAAAAAAAAAAAAAAAAAAATGGGGGTGAGGAATGTTTCCCATGAACAGGAGGATAAGAAGTGGCATAATTTGGTCCAGCAATGGTTTGGTGATAAGACAATCTCAGTTTTGACAGGTGAAAACTGGAAACTGACACCTGCTGTCGTTTTGCCCAGTTTCTGATTATTTATTACAAGACTGTCGTCAAGCCAGGAAGCTGGGAGCAGCTGAGCCCCACTCGTACACCTGTCCGCTCCACCGAATTGCTCTGCCAGCGCTTTATCTCGTGCACCTCAAATGTCTATCAGCCAGAGATGTGTCCTAATTCCCAAGGATGAACTAAAAACCCAACATAAGGCAAAAGGGAAAAGACACTAAAAATCTCTTCATTGACGCATACAATAACATTAATAGTAGGTAAGAAAATAGAGTAGGCCAAATACGCATCAACTCCCATCAAAAGGGATCCAGGGAAGCTGCTCCCTGAACAGGTCAAGAGTGGGCTTCCCTTGCTCGTCCTATGGCCACGTCTGCCCAGGCCCTTTATTCCCCGCTGTTCTACCCCATCTCAGTGGTAGAGGGAAGTGTAGGTATGCAGCAGAATTCCTCGCTTTCCCAGAGGTTCTTGGTTTTACCAACCAGCGTCTAGAACGCCCCCCCCCCCAAACCCCCTGCCAACACACACACTGGGAGAGAACACGGGGGTCAAGGAGCAAACTGTAGTACTGGCACCAAGTCTACCACTCCTGAGACCTTCTATTCTCCACGGACAGGGGTCCAAGAGGAGGACAGAACCTCTGTCCCCAGATCACCCTATCTCTGTGGGATCAAGAAGGCAATCCTGACATTGATCTGTCCCCTGTCCTTTTAACCTCTTCAAGACTCTCCACCAATTTCTACTTTAAAGTCTCTGAAACCAACTTCATCAGGCCTCTTGCTGGTTTTTATGTCAGCTTGGGAAGCTCTTGACCACTAGGATGCTCTTATCCCCAGGACTCCTAAAGTCCTGCCCACCTGCTGCTGTCCACCCTCAGCACCGACTCCACTCTGAAATTCTTCCCCCAGGGCCCCCTGGAATTCACAGCCCACCTCTGGCAAAGCTGCCTATATAGTCTCAGCCTCCTCTTGGAACACTCCTTCCTCACTGGAAACTTGATTCTCCTCCGCTGACAGTTATTTCCTGGGTTGTTTCCGGGCAGCCTTCTCCAGTTTTTATCTCCCACAGCTCATGTACCGTTGGGCCCAGAGGAAGGGGGGTGCATCTTCCCTCTCCCAGTACCATCGCGCTCCATGCCTCCATACCCACACCCAACTCAGAATCCCCCAATAGCATCACTGTCCTAAGTCGTGGGGATTTCAGCAGATGGACAGAAGAGCCTTCCAACAAGCTGGTCTCTCAATTCCCTGGACGACTCTTGTCCATCCATCTTGCTCTAGGCTCTTTTAGCCATTAAAGGAGTCACGCCCTAGACTTGCCATTACCAATAACAGAAACCTTCCCCACCTCGC